CAATAAGAAACATAGTTTCAGAATGTGACAAATAATAGTCCAAGATCTCAACTTGAACAATGATAGAATAAAGGATAAGAAGTTGATATACAGGAACTTGAACTACAGACACAATTTGATGAACCTGAGTCTTTTTATCCTTGTCTGTTGGGAGTTCGGTGATGAATAGATGATGATCACACCATAAGTTACTTACAGATGCTGCTGTACCTCTCCCAATAAATCTGTAACTGCCCACAACAATGAGAAAGACATCTGACTACTTTTAAACTTTTAATTTACAATATCTTTAGTTTTATTAATAATTATAATACCTGTGATGTGCTGTATTTGAGATAATCATATTCATAGTTGGTATACACAATATAAATAAACACTTAACAAACAATTAGCAGCTACTTCACACGTGACCACCAAACCTGCACTTATAATAACAGTAAAAAGTCAGTGTGGCCCTACTATAGTTCAATGTTAATAGATGATGCATGGTTTATCTGCTTAATCCTCCAATAATAATTATTATACATGTACATGTATAATAATAAATAATAATAATAATATAGGTTTCCCTCCAACAACCTGGCATTGAAGGACACATCATTCTGTCTACTCTGGACAATATTCTCAATCTACTGATAGAAATGTAAGAGAGAGAGGAGAAAGAAGAAGGTTTAAATCTTATTATATTAAGGATCTTGTAAATGTAAAGCAGGATGGCATGGTCTGTGAGAAAATTTAGTCACTCTACTGCTCTTTAAATGATTTAGTTAATTTTTTTACATATACAGCTTGTCAACACAATAGATACACTCCTGGTTGTGTAATTGTAATGATAATGAGATCCGTTCATCTGTCATCATGTAGCTGGCACATGTATATACCATGTAATACAGGATATACTGGACCAAAGTGATGTGCAGATTGGCACCTTTTCCCTCTTCTTTCCTTCCCCAAAAAAATTAACAAAGTACAATGACAAAGTAATATCTAATTTAGGCATCACATTTAACACAGCTAGACCAATAATTTGTATAATAATCAATAATAATTACTAATAAAATTAAACAAAATCTAAAAAGTATATAAACCTTTCAGTAAATCTAAATTTAATATGTTCTAGCTGCATGCAATACTAGTTATGCTATTTCATAGGGAAATTAGGGAACACAATATTTTTTATAATTTATACTTTTGTTCTTTGCTTAATTAATGTATGATATCCACTGGATCCAGAAGCAATACTAGCAGTATCTTGATGTTCTGTTTTGTTTTCTTTTAGGTAACTACTAATCAATACAAATATTTCATTAGTTTTGGCTTCAGATATTGCAGTTTTGCCTTCAATGGATTGTATAGTTGGATCAGCTTTCCATTCTAACAATAATTTAACTACTTCATAATGTCCATTAGCACTGGCGATCATTAAAGCAGTAAAACCTCCTTTGTCTTGAACACTAGAATCAACTTGTTTATTCAACAACAGTTCAGCTATTTGAGTGTGACCTTTTAGACAAGCTAGCATAAAAGCATTTCGACCATCTTCCATTTGTACACTAGAATCAGCTTGTTTCTCCAGCAGCAGTTTAACTATTTCAGTGTGACCATTTTGACAAGCCAACATAAGAGCGTTCACTCCGTCTTTCTTTTGAACATTAGGGTCAACTTGTTTCTTTAGCAACAGTTTGACTATTTGAATGTGATTTGTTTCACAAACCAACATAAGAGCATTCCCCCCACTGTTTCTTTGAATATTAGGATCAACTTGTTCCTTCAGCAACAGTTCAACTATTTGAGTGTGGCCAGTTCGACAAGCCAGCATAAAAGCATTGATTCCATCTTTGTCTTGAACATTAGGATCAACTTGTTCTTTCAGTAACAGTTCCACAATTTGAGTGTGACCTCTTAGACAAGCCAGCATAAAAGCATTTCGACCATCTTTTCGTTGAATATTAGGATCAACTCCTTCACTAATCAACAGCTGAACAATATCACAGTATCCATGATAACTAGCTGTTACCAATGCGTTTGATCCATTTGATTTTTGTAGGTGAGGATTAGCGTTAGCTTGTAGTAACATGTGAATGATTGAAGTGTAATTATGCTTAATTGCTCTCATTAGTGCCGCCCGTCCTTTATTGTCCTGAATGTTAACATTAGCTCCAGCAGACAGTAAACTGTGTACAATGTCTTCATGTCCTCTTTCACAAGCTAACATTAGTGCTGTCTTGCCTTCTTCATTAGTATGATCAATATTAACAGTTTCTAGTTGATGAAGAAACTCTACTGCTTCATTATTACCAGCTGTGACTGCCTCAAGGAGAGCTAGTTCAAATGTGAAGTTCATATTCTCATCTTCTTGAAGGACAGGATGATCATTAATGCATAAACTAAATATACCAATGAGACGCATAAACTGAAACTTTCCTCCAGTATATTCTATTAGTCTATCAGCTGTAGAATCAAGTACAGAATGTTTAATGAGAATGCATCCAGAAGATATTGTAATATACTTCATTATTGACTGCTGGTGTCCAACAGGAAGTAAGTTGTGGATCAGTAAAGGGAGTCCATTGATATTGCTACTGTGCCATGGATTATGAAGCTTCAGTGTAATGGATCACCATGGGATAACAATTGTTGAGGATATTATTTAACCACTTTTGACAGATTAGATCTATATGTTATTACTGAACTTTCTAGATTATTCTCTTAGTCTCTTGATCTTGTGTTTGTATCCTTCTTCTTGAACATTCTGGACATCTTGCTACTATATATAAGCACGCACATTTCTCTCTCCCTTGTTGTTCGTTTTTGAGTAAAATATCTTTTTAAAACTAAAGACCACTCAGCGTTATCTTCTGTCGGTGATCCTTGACATATTTGGTGGCAGCGGTGGGATCTCTCCTCAAACAGTTGAAAGAGGGAATCCCATTAGAAGAGCGGGAGATATCCGACAGTTGATGTCTACAGTGCGGATAAGACGGACGAAGTACTCACTAAGGAACATACCAAGACCCGATTATCATAGACAGCTCAAAGGACCAGTTATCTCAAGGACTAGGTACTTTGAAGCAGAGAGAACGACGGAAGGAGCTACTGGATCAGCAGAGACAGAAGACCAGTGGGAGACAGAGTCTGAAGAAGAAGAGGAGCCCGAGTTACTACAAAATCAAGAGGAGCGACAAGGCCAAGACGAGCGGGAGCTACGAGATCAAGAGGAAGAAGAAATGGAGCGCTTAGCAGAGATTCTGGGAGAATTGACTCGACTACAGGAGGAACAACAGCGGCAGCATAACGAATCAAGGAGACAACAGAACGACGAGCATAGGGAGCAGCTTCGGGAGATGTAGGAGCTACACCAGCAGCAGTTGGAGGCTAGTCTCGCGT